ACAGCAGCAGTTTCCCAATCCCCAGCCTCGTTCTCCCCACATCGGGCTGGAACCGTCCCAGGGGTCTTTCCACCCTCCCACGGCCATGCCCTTCTGCTTGGGGGGGACACGCTGCTTGCAGGAGAGGGAGCAATGCCACCTGCCACCCCCCAGAGCGCAGCCAGGGCAGGACTCACTCGGTGAAGGGTCCGTAGGGCAGGCGCCGGGTGTCCCGGTGTTCCTTCCATAGAGCCATGTCACTCCGCATGGGATACTTGCCCTCCTGCCGTAGCAACTGTTCCAGCACCACCGGGCTCCCAATGTTGATGTTCTCGTAGTGCCCGAAGGTTGACTTCCAGATGGGGCCGTAAATGCGCCGGGACATCAGCTGCGACGCACCAGAGGATGGCAGGGTGAGTGGGACAGCGGGGGGGTGTGTGTGCGGGAAGCAGAGCTCAGCACTGGGGCTGGATTGATTCTTCCCTGCCCCAATCCTGCCTGGCATGTTTCCAGCATGCTCTTCGCTCATCCAAAGACCCTTCAGCACCAGCTTAACCCAAGCCCCAGCCTCTGAACCCCCCCAGCTGGCACCATCCTCCAAGTGCTCTGCAGGTGGCTTGGGCTGGTGTCTCCAGGCACGTGTCCTCTGCCAGCAGTAGGCACAGCAGGCACTGACCCCTGGCACAGGCTGGCTCATCCCTCACCCACCCCAGAGATGCATGAAAGGCCTGCTGGGTCTTTTGGGGCAGCAAGGCCAAGAGGGGACAGCAGGGACAGGGTCAACTTCCAAGCACAGGGCTCTGCTGAGACTGAGGGCGATTGCAGCGCTGTCAGCAGGTCCAAGCCCTGCTGCTTCCAGCATGGTCCCAGCTCTGCTCAACCTGGGGACAACAGGCCCTGCGTGGGTCCTTGAACCCACCACCCGATAAGGGTGGTTAATGATCAGCGCTGGGAGGGCAGCGCCAGGCTGGGGTGACACCGGGCTGCTCCTAGGGCAGGCTGCCACCCCCGGGGCACGGCCCTTGGGCTATGGGCTCACAAGCTAGCCAGGGGACATCCACCAGCATCGGTCCTACTCTGGGCTCTGTTGAACAGAACTCCCCTCTCCTTGGCAGCACCCAAGGGTGCCATGCCTGCCTCCCTGCAGGGGAGCACCGTGGCCCTCTGAGAGTATCCCTCAGGGGCAGCCGGGCATCCCTTTGTGGGCGGCTCTGCACAGAGCCACGTCTAAGGGGTGCTTTGCATCCCACCCAGGCATTGCCACAGCCCCTGTGGAGCGGGGCCAAGCCCGGGGGGCTGCGGGGGACCTAGCAGGGAAGCCCTGGTCCCTGTTCCCCGCGGCTGCGTGGATGCACGTGGTACAATCTCCCTTGGTGACTGACTGCATCGCAGCCTGCGCCCGGATTCAGCTGGATTCGTCACCACGGGGAGACGTTCCTCGTGTGTGGTGGCAGGAGGAGGGGGAGGGATGGCCGCCCCGGTACCGCAGGCAGCTCGCCGGGTGAGCACGTTGCGTGGGGCCACAGGCAGCCATGGCCCGAGCTGAAGCCTGCCTGCCGGTGTCTGCCAGCAGCCAGGACCTGGCACTGCACAGGCCTTGGAGGGCAGGGCTGAGAGAGGCTGGAGCTGCTGGAATCTGGGAAAAGGCACCTCTGGAGCATGTGAGCATCTGTCTGCAAAGCCAGGCTGTGCTCAGAGCCCGAAGGACAGGAGGGAGCAGCAGGGAGCTCCCGTGCCCACTCCCCAAGACCCCACTGCCCTGCGACAGCCCCTTCTCCAAACAGCAGTGCCTGGTGCCCCGTGGTGCGGGGGAGGCCTGATCCTGCACACCCCTCCCAGCCGGACAGAGCTCCAGGACACTGGAAGATGCCGCCTGGCTCACGGCCAGCCAAGCCCATTGCTTGCTTCATCCGACGTATGAGGAAGTGTTGACAGAAGAAAACAAACACCTCTGCCTATGCCTCCCCTGCCTGCCTGGGTACCATCTGCCCAAACACCTGCCCGGCTGC